TGTGTGTGTGTGTGTGTGTGTGTGTGTGTGTGTGTGCATGTGCTCACCATGAATAAAAGAAGCTTTAAAAAAGGAATTCACGTAAATGTTACCTTCATAGGAAATATCAAAGTATCTAAAGTTTTTTTCTTTTTTTTTTTTTAAGTTTTTTTCCTCTTAATTACCAGAGGGTGTGTGAACTTGCCACAAAGAGAGAAAAAAAGCACCCTCCAGTGGAGCATGGCCATGCTACAATCCATTCTCTATTTCTCCATCCTGTTGGAATTTGAAGCACACACAAACACAAGCCCAGCCTTTTTCAAGCCACTAGGGACAGGACTTGAGCTGCATAGTCAGCATGTGGGATCCAGTTCCTTTAACCACCAAGCCATGGGGCTGAACTTTAAAAAAAAATTTATTGCTAGAGGGAACATGTGCTCACCAGAGATAAAGAGAGGGAGAAAAGAGGAAGCCCTTCACCCTCCGTGGGGCATGGTCACACAATAATCTTTTTTTTTTTTTAAGAGAAGTTTTTGCTATAGGGTGCATGTGCTCACCAGAGAGACAGAGAGAGACAGAGAGATAGAAAGTGAGAAATCACCCCAAAGGGGGATGGCCACACCACAATCCCCTCTCCTCCACTCTCCTCTCGAGATCTTGGGCACACATGCACAAGCGCCCGGCATGAGTTTAAGCCACCAGATCTGGGCCTCGAACCAAAATTGACTACATGGGAGTCCAGCAACATAGCCATTACACTAACTGCTGGTCCCACACTCCATAATCCTTTTCCTTATATTTCTCTATCCCATCAGCATTTGGGGCATACATACAGGTACCCAGCATGTTTTTCTTTCTTTTTTATTTTAAAGAATTATTTCATTTAATTTTGCTTATTCATTCATTTATTTTAATTTGACCAGAAAGAGACACATACACAGAGAGACGGAAGGTGAGAAAGAAAGCCACCAGGTCTGGGACTCGAACTATGGTTGGTCATGTGGGAATGTCCAGCGCCTTAACCACCACACCACCTGCTGGTCTCCTAGCATGTTTTTCAAGCCACCATGTCTGAGATTCAAATCGCTGTCGGTCACATAGGATCTAGTTTTCAATACATTGTAGTAAACTACTGGGTAGCTCATATCTGTTTGACTTAAAGGGCCAGGTCAGAAATTTGGAATTGGGGTCACCAACTGACATTCATGTGACAGTGTGCAAGATAGACTTTGAGAGTTGACAATTTTTTTTTTTTTTTGGAGAGGTTTTTGCTATAGGGCACACGCGCTTGCCAGAAAGACAGACAGAAAACAAGAAATCAATCCCCAGGGGGATGGCCATACTGTCCCTTATCCTCCATTCCCCTCTCAGGATCTTGGGCATGCATGCACACGTGCCCGGCATGAATTTAAGCCACTGGGTCTAGGACTCGAACCGTGGTCATCTACATGGGAGTCCAGCGACACAGCCATTACGCCAACTGCTGGTCCTGGTAGAACGTGTTTCAAAGGTAAGAGGGGTGTATAGTGTGTGATAAATTAAGTATGAAATGTGCTTCATGTGACGTGTCTACAGGGTAGCAGTGAACCTTAAACAATCAGAGGTAAGAATGTGGGAATCACTGACATAGGTTGACATTTAAAGCCAAGGCAGTGGAGAACTATACTGTAAAAGATCAGAGACTCAATAGGACTAAGGATCAGATGCTTTTCAGGCTTTCTCCAATTATTCTCTCTTCTAAAAATTTTTTTTAATTATATTTTGCCTGAAGCTAATTTATTGATTGAGATATATATATTAAGATATATATAAAGATATAGAGGTATAAAAATATGTATATAAAGATATAGATATATTAAGATAGATATATATATATAAATAAATAAAAAGATATATATCTTAATCCCTCAACTATAAGCTTCAGGGATAATAAAGAGCCCTGAGTGTTTTAGGAGAGAAAAGATCACACTGGATTAGCTCAGGGGAGAGGCAATCAGAATCAGGACCTGGTGCTCAGAGCATGACCATTTAATTCTATTTTTAATCTTCGTTAAGATAACTCGGGATGAGAATCAAGATATTTTGGTCAACTAGAACATTTCCAGTAGGTTTAAACAGATGCACATACCCTCCAACTTGTTCCTTCAAGCTTATTGTGTTTCTAGTATAAAGTAATTTCAAGTTCTTTACACTTCTTTGAAGAAAATTTTTAAAAACACAAAAAAGTAAAAAAAAAAAAAAAATTAAAAAGAGAAGTTCACACACACACACACAATTCATCCAAATTCTTAACTCCATTCCTCCAGACTTTTTTTTATGCACAGTTCTGGTTTGTTAAGCTTTTTCAAATTTTACTCTACAACTTTGTATGACGGTTTTCCTAGCTCGCATTATACATTAGCATGTTCCCATGTTGTTTAAAAGTATAGACCTTTTTTAGAAGCCGCTTCATAAACACTAAGTGAAGTTACGTAACTTGCTAAATCACTCCTCACTTGAAACACCTGGTTGTGGCGAACCTCATTCAACCCACCATAAGGAACGCCGTGGTAGAGGTCGTTACGCATAAAGTGCTTTCTCTGCTCGGAAAGACTTTCTGAGGATATGCACTCATTCGCGAGTCACTCGTCCGGACGCACCCCTCTCGGTCCTCGCCCTCCAGCCCCTCAATCGCGGCCCGCCGATTCTCCACACCCTCCCCTCACGCCTCATCTCCTGCTCTCACGGTCCCCATTCCCCAAGTGCCAGTCTTCCTCTTTCCCAGCCCACGTCCCTCCCCGCGCACCTACAGGTTCCCCACACCCACCCCGCCTGGCAGCAATGGAGACAAACTACCTTCGGCCTTACAACCCCATAAAAAACCCGGTCTCCCACACCGCCACCCCGCCTCACCTCACCTGACAGTGGATCAAGCGCCCGCTGCAGCTACCGGAAGCATCGCCTCCCGGTCCTCTGATAGGTGAGCGGTGTCGGGGCAAACCGGCAACTTCCCCTGCCTATTGGCTGTTATACATGTCACGTTAACAGAGGATTCTTTCCATTGGCCAATAAGATTGCGTTTTGCCGCAAGGCTCTGTGGGAATTGTAGTCATGTGAAACTCGACCGCCCATAAGCCCGTTACAACACTTTTCTCCCTTAAGCGTTCTTACTCCTCCCCTCATTTCTTATTGATTCTAAGGGGTCTAGGAAGCCCTAGAGCAAAACGATTTCCTTTTCTTAAAGTTATTTTCTTTCTTCCATAAACTAGAAAGACAGAGATAGGAACAGCAGCTCCAAGAGGGTCTCCACACCTTGATCCACCCCCAGTGTCAACCAGCTGCAGTCATGGGCACATACTTGTCAGGTGTGTTCAGGAGCCTAGTGTGCACAGGGATGTCTCTGGTTGTGAACCCCAATCTTTCCCATGTAAGTCAGCCTCACAGAGGGTTATGTCCGTACCACTGTATCACTGTCTGGACACCCGACATAAACTCTGAACCTTCTTGTGCTGGGGAGAAGTTGGAGGGCCCCTTTAAAATCTGATGAAATCTCTCCCCAGAAAAATGTTCTTATCTGTCCACAAAATATCGTGCACTTAGCTGAAGCCACTCCGTGGGCCTGTCCCAGTTACAATCCCTGTTCTATACCTGTCCCACACCTGCCTGTTTATGGCCATTGCCCGTGGGGCTAGTACAACACTTTGGTCTTCTTTAGACCAGCTACATTCTTGGGAGACTGGGCCACATCTGGAGCATTTCATGGGAAATTTCAGATCCCAACACTCACAACACAGTTGACCATCATCTTTCTTGAACAAAGCAACCAGGTTTACTTCATGTTTACTGATAACCTCACCTCTGACCTAACTACCTGGAACTGTGGGTGGTAGGGAAATGTAAGAAGAACACCTCAGGGCCCATTCTGGACACTTTGCCGTGTTTTCCTCCTTATATATCCCTTTTAGCATCACTTGTCAAAAATCATACCCTCACATCAATTTTTGGAACAATGTATGTTAAAATTAAGGGGAAAAGTAGGTTTTAAAATCTCATTCACACTGGGCCAGCTCCCTTGTCTAGTGGTTTAGGGAGCTGGATCTCACTGATTGACCATGGGTCAAATCTGGCCCCAGAGGCTTGAAAATCTTACCTGGCATATGTATGTGTGTACCCCAAGCCCTACTCCAAATCCCCACAGGATAGAGAAATTCAGGAGAAAGAATTGCAGCATGACCACCCACACCCACCCTGCCTGGCAGCAATGGAGACAAACCACCTTCAGTCTTACCATCAGTATTACAGTCCCGCAAAAAAAAAAAAAAAAAGAAAAGAAAAGAAAAAGAAAAGGTCTCCCACACCATTCTCCATCTCCCTCTCTCTGTCTCTCTCTCTCTCTGGTAAGGGTACCCACCACCTGGCTATAAAAAAATTAAAAAAAAAAAACAAACAAACAAAAAAAAACTCATCCTTTAAGCAAATGTGACTTTCTCCAAAAATATCTTTCAAGACTTTCAGATCTCTTTTTGGTGAAGGTGAAAGATCTGCCAAAAAGGAGAAGCTCAAGGTAGAGTTTATTAATTCATGAGGCCAGCCTATGGTATAATGACCCAGGGAGCCAGATCCCACATGGCTGACCTCAGTTAGAGTTCCCACCAGCAGTGGGGAAAACACCATAGGTGGGACCAGCAGATGGCATAATGGTTACATCGCTGGACTCCCATGTAGTTGACCTCAGTTGAGTCCCAGACCCAGAGGCTTAAATCTCATGCCAGGCACATGTGCATGTGTGCCTCAAATCCTGAAAGCAAGATGGAGGAGAAGGGATTGGGGTGTGGCTACCCCCCTGATGGGGAATTTCTCGCCTTTTATCTCTCTGTCTCCCC